TAGTGAGTGACTCCACTGTGTGTTGTAATGACTTAACTTTGTGTTGTGTTTTAGTGAGCGACTCCACCGTGTGTTGTAATGAGTTAACTTTGTGTTTTGTGTTTTAGTGAGCGACTCCACCAACCTGCGTGAGAGTTGGTTCCTGACACACCCCATTGCTGTATGTGGCCTATCTGTATGTGCCCTTGTCCTCACTGCCATACTTTTCCTCGTCCAGTGTGGAGGGTGCACAGACATGGAAGTAGGGACTGACAGTCATCCGGCTTCAGGAGGAGGGGGTAAATCAGCTACTTCTGCTGTGACATACTCCTCCCCGATGGAAACAGACTATGATTCTCATGCTGGAGGCGCTGGTTTACCATACTCTCTCAACCCAAACATAAATACTACCCAAGGCTTCGCTGGCTATCAATCTGTAGGAAGTAGCAATATAGCAGGTTATGGACAAGGAAATGTGCAAACAGCGGGTGGCTATCAAGCTCCGATGGCACCTAGTGCACCCTCTATTCAGACTCAAGGATACCAAGTACAGAATCCGCCAAATGCTCCCACATTAGGTCCAAATGCTCACAGACCCGCTGTGGAGCCGCCACCACCATCTTACAATGAGAGTGTCGCATCAGGATGGGTCACCCGGCCTCATCAGTGATCAAGGAATGGTATAACGGTGATAGTTGGTGTAAAATGTGCTGCTGTACTTACCTCTGAGGGAACTTTCTAGTAACAATCAATGTCACATCAACCTAAAAATTATGCAGGAATGTGTTGAATAAGAACAAAATCTTCTTCAGTGATATGTTTAATGAGATTTTTTAACCAGAAACCTGTTTTGTGATTTTATCTTTGGATCAGTATAGTGCTAGAACATGAAGTCATGGATATATTTACACTGTGTTTGTGAAATCTGCTTGTGTGAACTCATGGATGCCTTGCCAAAAAATAAACTTCCGTAAACATTGCGGATCACCCGTGCTTAATCATACACAATTTGTTCATCCATCAAATCAGTGTTTTAAATATTTCCCCACATTGTTAATGGCACCTTATTAATTCTCAGGCAGCCTTCCTTTGTTTGAGCTCACCCAGCCTAAAGGACTTGTGTGGGATATTTTCTCAGCTCAACTGAACCTAATGTGAGCTCAGGTATTGATGTGTTATCCATTGTCCTCTGTTTGTAACCTCATTTTCATATGGGTTTCTTCTCAAGAACAGCTACTCAAATAATAGGTAAAAGCTCTACTTCAGCCTTAATAAATACAGCAGACAAAATTTAGCTCAGGAACTATGACCTTCAAAGTATTGATACTCCATTATAGCACATACATGTACTTGGGTCGCAGCATTGAACTGAGATCTTGAAGCAATTGAATGTGTCTTTATTTTCATAAAGATGGAAATTAAATCTATAAATTAAGGTTACATGATATTAGACAACAGGTGTGAAAAGAACAAAATAAATAATAAAATAAATAAATATACAACATTTGATATAGCGCCCTAAATAGCTAACATAAGCCACTCTAAAGCACTTTACAATACATAGATATACAATTTTATACAGTCAATACAATTAGCATATATATATTAATCAATACAATATTGAGGAATTCGCAGGAGCTGCCTTATCAGGCGCTAACTACTAGTCCTATGCCCCCTGGCTAATATCTCCCTATGTGTGTATGCCTGTGTGTGTGCTGGAGATGTATTGTGTAGCTGTTTGTAGTGGGACCAGGCTTCCAACGGTATCATTTATAGTGCCACCTCACTTGAAAGCTACAGCACGGATACCGCAACACCCACCCCAGACCATTTTATAATCCACCTGGGTTGTTGGGAGTTGTGTGGGCACCCACCCTAGACCATTTTATACTCCACCTGTGTTGTTGGAGTTGTGTGGGCAGGAGAAAAACACTTTCTCTAATATTCCATGCGTACGGCGACTTCGGGGATCGAACTCCGGCCGCCTGCTTGGAAGGCCTGAGTGTTAACCACTCGACCAATCCGCCCATATATGACATGATACAATCTTGGAAAGTGATTGAATAACCTCATGGGGTTACCCTCATTAATAAAACAATTGAAACAATAGCCCCCCCCCCCTGTAATGGAACAAATAACCTCATGAAGTTACCCAAGGTAATGAAACAATAGCCTTATGAAGTTTCCCCCGAAAATGAAACAATATAACCTTATGAATTTACCGCTGATAATGAAACAATAACCTGATGATGTTTTATTACCATCAGTAACCAAACAATAAATTCCTAAGGTTACCCCTGGTCTTTGGGCCGCAGTGGCTAAGTGGTTAAGGCGTCTGTCACTGTGTTACCGCTAGCCCTCCACCACTGGGTTGCGGATTCGAGACCTACTTGGTGCAGTCGCCGGGTACTGACCGTAGGTCCGTGGTTTTCTCCGGGAACTCTGGCTTTCCTCCACCACAAAAACCTGGCACATTACATCCTTAAATGACCATAGCTGTTAATAGGACGTAAAACTCAATCAAACTAAACCCCTGGTCTTGAAACATTGGTTCCCACCTGGCAATATCTGTATCATGTTTTCAAGCTATGCATCTAAAGGTGATGTAGCTTAAGGTATGTAGTTGGAAATTAAGTTGTTTCCTCTCATTGACCTGCCGCTTAAAACCAGTATCGGGTAATATCATTTTAGCAATACACATTTTCATGGCTGTGGTAAAAATGTAAATATCTTTGCGCGCCTATGGTCATCATTGTAGTTTTCCTCAGTAAGATGTGATGTACTAAACCCATTACTGCCTTTTTTTAGAGCTCTCTATGGTTTCATAATTTTGCTTTGGGAAAAAAAAGGGTCGACACCTTTGGAATATTCAGTATAATTTCTTTTCTTGGCGTGCAAACATATGAGACCATAGTGCATTAAGGCAGTAATAAGTATAAATAGTCCTCTTTGTCTTATATAAGTTATTTGTACATTTGGTCTGTGTTTAAATAGATTCATTAACTCAGACACCCCTGAAGACACATTTGGACTCTTCCAATTCCAAGGTTGGAATAGTTCATTTTGAAATTTCAGGGGTGAATGAGTTAATATTGTGTGCTGGTAAACCAATCCATTATGGTTGTGTTTGTATTTATTTTCGATATCTGTTCATATTGTGATTGTTATTAATTGTTTAATTTGGTTTCCTGGAGTAGACAGTTGTGTGTAAATTTTATGTGTACCAATGACATCCTCATATATATATACATAAACTATGTTGACATTAATTTTGTGTAAAATTGGGTATTATTGTAGATAAATCAATGATAAAAAGAATCTCAATCTAATGTCCACATTCTATCTTACTTTTATGAAAAAATCACTAAGGTTCATTTCATAAAACATAATGGGAACTTGTTGGTTTGTTCCTTCTATGTTTTAAGTAGTATGTCAAGGTTTTTTACATTACTTTGCCTGTAACTCTAAATAAACCCTATATTCTAATATATTTGTTTTTGCAAGAAACATTGCCTTATCAGTGCTTAACCTTACTAGCAGTGAATACCTACAGGTCGTATATTTTGCAAATTATTTTGTGTAAAAACATAGATTGTTCTGTAAGAGTGAAGAATCCCCGTACCAATGCGAAAAACTATAACTACGCATTTGGAATTGTTTTTTCCAGCATCATAATAGTTTTTTAAGTCATTTCTGATTAGAAACTATACCTTGTGGGATTCTTATAGAAGACTTAAATAAAGATAAAATAAACAAAACATAGTTATCAGCAGGGATAGATTGGAGTTGAAACCCTGTGCCCTGGTCCAACTGTGGTAGTTATGTCCAGAACGAAATTAAGTGGAGGTTACAGTTTATACGAAAAACCACAGTGCAATGGAATGGGGATCATTTAGACAGTTGTCATGTAGAATCCCAGTGTATGGCTGTGAGACATATTTCACTTGCTAACATTTTCACAGTTTGTATGTTTGTCCCGATTTGTCTTAGCAGTATCCAGTTTGTGTCCCAAAAAAATTTCCAGGGAAAATATTCCACATGCTCAAAATAAAACATTTAAATTGTGGTGTATAAAACCATTAAGGAAAACAACATTAAAAGGACGTATTTTGAGTAGTCCTTTCATATAAAATCATTAGATCTTAGAATATAGGAATAGTTCAGTAAATTCATTGATTGAAAATATTAAATTTGAGTGTCCAAAATCCGGAGTCTTCTTCGAATAAATGTATAGGGAAAGTTGGGAAGACTGATAAAAAGAATGGTTTTCAACCATAATGTCTAAATAAATATAGTATTAACGAGACAGTCGTCAAATATCCTTTATGTTTCCTTAATGATGTGCTGTATACAGTGTAGATTTACCACAGTATCATTGATGTGATGTATACAGTGTATATTTACCACAGTATCAATGATGTGCTGTATACAGTGTATATTTACCACAGTATCAATTATGTGCTGTATACAGTGTAGATTTACCACAGTATCAATTATGTGCTGTATACAGTGTAGATTTACCACAGTATCAATGATGTGCTGTATACAGTGTAGATTTACCACAGTATCAATTATGTGCTGTATACAGTGTAGATTTACCACGGTATCAATGATGTGCTGTATACAGTGTAGATTTACCATGGTGTCATTGATGTGCTGTATACAGTGTAGATTTACCACAGTATCAATGATGTGCTGTATACAGTGTAGATTTACCATGGTGTCAATTATGTGCTGTATACAGTGTATATTTACCACAGTATCATTGATGTGCTGTATACAGTGTAGATTTACCATGGTTTCAATTATGTGCTGTATACAGTGTATATTTACCACAGTATCATTGATGTACTGTATACAGTGTAGATTTACCACGGTATCATTGATGTGCTGTATACAGTGTAGATTTACCACTGTATCAATGATGTGCTGTATACAGTGTATATTTATCACGGTATCAATGATGTGATGTATACAGTGTAGATTTACCACGGTAGCATTGATGTGATGTATACAGTGTAGATTTACCACAGTATCAATTATGTGCTGTATACAGTGTAGATTTACCACGGGATCAATGATGTGCTGTATACAGTGTAGATTTACCATGGTGTCAATTATGTGCTGTATACAGTGTATATTTACCACAGTATCATTGATGTACTGTATACAGTGTAGATTTACCACGGTATCAATTATGTGCTGTATACAGTGTAGATTTACCACGGTAGCATTGATGTGCTGTATACAGTGTAGATTTACCACGGTGTCATTGATGTGCTGTATACAGTGTAGATTTACCATGGTGTCAATTATGTGCTGTATACAGTGTATATTTACCACAGTATCATTGATGTGCTGTATACAGTGTAGATTTACCACGGTATCAATGATGTGATGTATACAGTGTAGATTTACCACGGTATCAATGATATGCTGTATACAGTGTAGATTTACCACAGTATCAATTATGTGCTGTATACAGTGTATATTTACCACAGTATCATTGATGTACTGTATACAGTGTAGATTTACCACGGTATCATTGATGTGCTGTATACAGTGTAGATTTACCACAGTATCATTGATTTGCTGTATTCAGTGTAGATTTACCACAGTATCATTGATTTGCTGTATACAGTATAGATTTACCACAGTATCATTGATGTGCTCTATACAGTGTAGATTTACCACAGTATCAATTATGTGCTGTATACAGCGTATATTTACCACAGTATCATTGATGTACTGTATACAGTGTAGATTTACCACGGAATCAATGATGTGATGTATACAGTGTAGATTTACCACAGTATCATTGATTTGCTGTATTCAGTGTAGATTTACCACAGTATCATTGATTTGCTGTATTCAGTGTAGATTTACCACAGTATCATTGATTTGCTGTATTCAGTGTAGATTTACCACAGTATCATTGATGTGCTGTATACAGTGTAGATTTACCACAGTATCATTGATGTGATGTATACAGTGTAGATTTACCACAGTATCATTGATGTGCTGTATACAGTGTAGATTTACCACGGTATCATTGATGTGATGTATACAGTGTAGATTTACCACAGTATCAATTGTGTTCTGTATACAGTGTAGATTTACCACGGTATCATTGATGTGCTGTATACAGTGTAGATTTACCACAGTATCAATTATGTGCTGTATACAGTGTAGATTTACCACGGTATCAATGATGTGCTCTATACAGTGTATATTTACCATGGTGTCATTGATGTGCTGTATACAGTGTAGATTTACCATGGTATTTTACCACGGTATCATTGATGTGCTCAAATGTGACTATTCTGAAATATAATATAGTATCAATACGTTTTCAATATCATAGTGTTTCTGCCAAATAGTTCACGTTTTGTCAACCTTTGATTTCATATTTCTGTACTCAATATTTGCTCTTACTTAGCGACATCATGTTGTTTTTGACACTTGCCAGATGTCTAGGGGATGGAGCATACAACGAAGTTTGTATAAAGTAGAATTGCAGAAACAAACGT